AGGTGATTGGGTATTATTTTTTTATTGATTTTCCTAATTTATCTGTGATATCTATGGTGTCTTCTGTATTATGTTTCATGGTATGATATGAAGTGAAGGGGTAAAATTAGATAACAAAGGTGGATCCAAATGATAGCACCCACCATGGATTTGAATGTGTCCTATTATGTTCAGGTGGGTCTCTTACCATTACCTATACATGGTTGGTGATGACCTNATTGCACATTAAATTTCAAGATAGAATAACAATACTAAGCAGTACATCATAAACTAGTTGCTCATGTTTCACACTTTCCCATTGAAGTTAGGATAAATCACAAGAGTTCTCGATGAATTTTTCCTTTAATATTTTCTCACNCAAGAAATTGAATAGGAGTACACTATAGCAACTATAGTGGAATGTACCACCGAGTGGAGTCGTCCAGTGAGATATCGGTCGAACTTCTCATCCCGAGGTTGGATGTTCAAGTCTGAGAGTCTACATTGGGGCTTGGTGGTTAACTGTTATGTTAGCCTAGCTAGGTTCCTTCCAGAGGGAAGTAACGAGCACAACCAAGGGTCTCATGATTCCACGAATGAGGATCTATCGGTGTAGTTTCTGAGCGCTCTCTCCTTTGCCCCCACCCCTTTTGCNTATATTTTGTTCTTCTCATTCTTGGTTTGCTTCTTTGTGGGTTGCAGCAAGTTTGTGTTTGACAGGATTTANATATTTTGTTCTTCTCATTCTTGGTTTGCTTCTTTGTGGGTTGCAGCAAGTTTGTGTTTGGCAGGATTTATTAGAGTTAAGACTTGGGATATGACTTTGATAATAATAGGTATGTTCTTCGTGATTTAATCTCACACTTTTNCTTATAGTTTTAAACAGTGAAAAAAAATTGTACTCAATACACACGCCTTTCGCATTCATTGCAAAGGGTTTATGTGACCAAAAAAAAATTATTCAGGCATTTAAGCGTGTATTGTTCAAGCATTGCTGGCAATATATTCAACTAACTTTATTTTTATAAACTTACCTTTCATATTATTTGTTAAATTAAAATGGTTTTATTGTTCGGGTCACATATTTGAGTGATNTTTGATGACCTTATTCATGAGAGGGTCAATGCAACCCATGAAAGCAATATGGTACTTCTTTTTTATTTTTGGGTTGTTAGTGATGGAAATTTTTTAATTTCATTATCGAGTTTTTGACGTTATTATTATGTTTTGCGTATCCCTTTTTTAAAGTTTGTTCTTGAAATGTATTTATATGTATAATGCGATCTATCACATAGTTATTATATTCTTTGTGTGAACTTTGTACCCTTTAATTCCTTTTGGCATGATTCTATTAAAGTCGGTCAATTCTAAGCCAATGTTAAAGTCATGATTCTATAGAAGCCAACTCAATCCTATAACAATGAATTACACTTNGTGAAAGGTCTATCCCTTGATCAAAGTTATTGCGCTTTAACAAAATGTCATTCATATCATTTATATACAAACATTGCATAATTTCCTTTTGATCACCATAACTTCATAAGTGTTACTTTTGATATTGATTGAGTGTGCATGAAGTCCTTGCCTGGNTTTGGCAGGTCAAATTTCAAGTATATCCTTCTCTTTAAGCTATTTTTTTCAAGTTCTACAAGCATATCATTTTCTCTAATTTATTCTATGTATTTTTTATTTAACAAATTTTCAAGGTTATTTAAAGTTCATTGACAAGGAAACGACAAAACCATCATTCCATCTTCTCCAAACACTTGAATATGGTTCTCCTTTTCTATATGGGGCCTCTGGTGATGTTCAAGTTAGCTAAAGCTTTTGCGGTCCCTTAATGAGAAAGCTTAATTAATTATGGTTTCAACTAAGAGCTAATTGTTTGTGGTAAAATAATTGCATTGATGTGTTTTAGTGAGTAATATGTGTAAAATACTTAAAGACATTAATATGGGAAAAATAAATCTTTGCGCAGCTAAATGAGAGTTCTTGGCAATAAGATTTTTGCCTATTCATTATATGGAAGTATTTTTTTGATCCAAAGGAAAGTAAAAATTTTCAATGTCCATCATGTCGAAACTGGTTGGCCCACTAAGGCTGATTACATAACTTATTATTATTTTTCTCTGCACCCCTCCACTTTAGTTTTATTGAAGAATTTAAATCATATTTCTTACACACTTTGAAATTTAGTTTCACTTTGATTTCCTATTTTTATACACTATTCTGGCAAACTTATTTCTTTTTTTTAATTATTTTAGTAATTTATTGTGATAATTTGTTTTGAAATCAAGTGGACAATATGGTTCGTTTTATTATGATAACTCTTTAAACAATATCTCACAAGACTTTTCATGTTTGCTTTTTCTCTTTAGTTTTGTATTCTCGCATTTTTTTTTTTTTAAAAATATGTTATCTTTTACTTTTTTTTGATGGGAGCTGAAGAGACATTTTCTTAGAATTAGAAAGTTTTTTTTTTTTGAATTAAATAGGCTATGATATTCAATTTATCAATTATTTCCCAAATATACAATTGTTCTTCTGTATTCCCTTCCAAAGTCTCGTGTTCCTAAATAATAAATAGTACAAAAACTATGTCTAAAAACTTTATTGAATAAATAAATATTGTAAAGCATATCACAAAAAAAATAAAAAAAAATTATAAATCAAAATTATTCATGTGCAACGCACGTGTACATCAATTAGAATATATATAAAATGATGAAAAGGAAAAAAGTGGCTGGAACCCACTTGAAATTAGTCTTCCGGGGGTTACCAAGTGAAATGGGCGTGACTGTATAATGAAGTCAAGTCAAAGACGACGACACATGTCCTTGAAGTGAGTCTTAAATGATTCTTTTAAGAGATGAGCCCCTCTCATATAATTTTTCTTTAATGTTTTTCAATAGTTTATTACTAATAATGAAATTAAATAAGACTTATTATACATAAGTGAATCTCTTGATATGAATGGTGGGGGATCTATTATTGTAGAATAATGTACTAAAGGAGACCTAAATCCCTATATCGCGCCATGGGATTTATAATACTCGACAAAAGTAGAAAGAAATATGGTCATGATTTGGTTGTTAAGGTTTGAAAACCCTTTTGGGTCCTTATTTTTTGTAATAAGGTTTGGTATAAGACTGTCGACCATATTGTATGCATGTTCCAACTATTTTCAAAACAAATGTAATGAAATTTAACCACAAAACTTTCATTTTACAAGCTCTTGGCTCCACAACTAAAGCTTTGAACAAAATTTCCTTCAGCTTTCATGCACTAATGGCTCCTAACATGTAAATGGATCCTATGGGCTAAAATACATCGGTGGCAGGTAAATTTACTGCAAATACTCTATATGTATTTGTACTGCAATTCCTTCATGTCTAAACCACCACTTTAACTGATGGAGACCTTAGAATTGCCTTTTACGAAAGTATTATCCCTTTTCATTGATCCCAGGCATGTGATGATCGACTCTTTTTTTTTTTGGTTCAATGGTCATAATTGTTCGGATTAATTTACACGCACCTCGACTAATTTCCTCTAATCCAATCAAAAAAAAGACTTTCTTCTATCAAACAAATGCTGTGTCGTAGAGTCTAAAATATCTTCACATCCATAAAATAGAATGATGTTTAGCCAATTTAGATGAGGAAATGAATATGTGTGATGTGCCTACTGCTTAAAAGAAGAAATCCACATCAAAAAATAAGGACCCAACTTGATGGCAAGGTGGACCATTTGGGCTAACAAGTATAGATTATGATAGATCACCCACTTGTGTTGTTGTGGGACCCATTTATGTTTGTTGGGCTCCAATTACAATTTTGATCAATCCACGGAGAAAAAATGTATTAGGGAGAATTAAAATCTGAAAGATAAGATGATTATATCACTATGTAATCTGAAATATGGTGGAAAGTTGAATTTTTATGCCAATGGTAGGCTGTCCACAATTCTCTTTCACACAAACAGTGACTTTATCATCTTTGCAATTTATATGATTCCCTTCGGGCCTAGCTTTCACCATGTTATAGTTTTGCCTTCTCTAGAAGATAACTGATTCAAGCAAACTTTCATGTGGGCCTGCATTTAGGTTATGCACATGCAACCTATGGGCTCCACCTTGACTTCTTAAGTCCATGAATCAAAAGGTCAGGATTCTTTAATCAAAATCAAACTAAACTTGCATTATTTTCTTAAGACGTGCCTCACCGGTTAGTAGTTTTAACATACATAATTAATGTAATATATATACATTATATCCCAAGGGTACAATTATTGAAAGCATACATGCAATATGGAAGTATATAAAAGTAAGCACAAACATTTAAGGCTAAATGGTCGGCCTTAGCAATGGGACCATCCACATGCAATGTAATTGCCTACAAGGCAACCCAATACCTTACATAGAAGAAACATCTCATGCCCCATTCTCTTTTATGATTTTTTTTTTTTTTGCAGTAAAAGAGAAAATCGTGTCGACCACATATATTTTGAACTCGTGAATATAAAATCAGTAATGTTAGACTGACCAAATTTTTGGATCAAATTTAGAGTCTAAATGACATGACAGTTGATTTGGGTTTCTTTCATTGATGTTATATCATTTGGGTCCCAATAAAAACTTCAAATAATCAACTGTCATGTCATTTGGACTTTAAATTTGATCCTAAAATTTGATCAATATAGCATTACTCATATAAAATTGTCTCAATCATGTGTTTCTTAAACTGATGGGCCTCCGATGCATGAAATGACACCTCAAAAGTCACATTCAATGCTCTTTGCTTACCAAAGTTTGATTACATAACCAAACTACCACCCTTGTTGTTTTACACCTTTCACATGCACCTAATAACGTAAGCAACCCTTTCTCAAAGACCCCGCTCCTCTTCTTGACCTTCGTCATCTTCTCTCTAAAGTCTCCCCACTAAACATATATCATATTCAGAAAACCAAACAGCTCTATCAACCTCTTAAGAGTCGGAATTTCCGGTGTCTGGCTCAAAATGTTGCGAGGGCTGGCAGTATTTCTGTTCATTCTTGCTATTGCAGACCCAACCAGTGGATTGAATCCAAGGAAGCTTGATGAAAACACTGTGCCATCGGATTCAGGAAACAAGTGTGGGGGGTGCTCAGCTTGCAACAACCCATGTTACCAATCCCCTCCACCACCACCACCTCCGCCATCTCTGCCACCGCCACCACCGCCTCCCAAGAAGCCTCCAACTCCAAGCCTATACTGCCCACCACCACCACCATCATCTTTCATTTACATAAGCGGTCCACCGGGGAACTTATACCCTGTAGACCCATATTTTTCGGGTGCCGGCAGGAGTTTTTCCTCTGGACTGCCTCTTTTGATCGGTGGTGGACTGTTGGGATTGCTAGCTTTGTGGTGAGTTGTGTCTTTAAGATTCAGAATTTTCCTTGAAGGAATACTTTTATGAATATGAGGATCTTCAGATTCCAAAGGAAAGAAAATCTTATGATTGAGAAAAATTCTAATCTTTAGGTTGGTACTGGCTTTACCTCAAATTCAATCCTTAAAAGTGTTTGATAATTTCAATAACATTCGTTTACTTTTTCTCTTTGTGGGTTTGGATTAGTATGAATGATCTGATCCTAATGAATCATTATTCTCTTCTTCTCTAATTAGCTTGTATTGCTAATCACTCTTTCTCTTGTTTTGTTTCATGGATTAAACTTGGTCAAACTTGTGTTATGTGTCCCCATATTGGTGAACCTATAAAGCTTTAGGTCTCAAATTCAGTGATAAATACTATTGAAAAGTAATCGAGAGTAATTCAAATGGTAACAGATATGAGTTTCTAAATTCAGACGTTTTGAGTTTGAATTTAATACCCTAATTTTGGTATTGATGGTTTGCCTTTAATCTTACTAAAAAAAAAAAAAATTAATTGAAGTGCGCATAAACTGATTCGGACATTCTTTAACTGTTGAAAGAAAAAAAAAAGAATATTACGGAAGAATATACAAATAATGAAGCATTTTGAATTGTATACTCAGTCCTTAATAAATGATAGTTACATATTATCCACCAGCTTGTATTTCCACTGCTGTATCAATTAAAATGGTGGCCTTTGCCTTATTGAGGTCCACCATTTGGTAGGACGGCTAGGAGTTGTCTTCATGTGTAAGCATTGCTTGCTGAGGTTGATTACCATAATAATCCCTTTCTCTTTTGGACCTCTCTCTCGGGAACCTTTTTTGTGTTTCCTTTTTCTTTTTCCTTTTTTTTTTTTTGG